AGAGGGAGAGGGAGAGGGAGAAGCAAGCTTCAAGCAGAGCAGGGAGCCTGACATGGGGTTTGAACCCAGGACCTAGGACAATGACCCGAACCAAAGGCAGATGCTTAACTGACTGAGCCACCCAGGTGCCCCTCCTTTTTTTTAAAAAAAATGACATTTTACTATACATTTTACTCTTCAGTATTTTTTTTTTTAAAGATTTTACTTAGTCATTTGTCAGAGAGAAAGAGAGCACAAGCAGGGGGAGCAGCAGGCAGAGGGAGAAGCAGACTCCTCACTGAGCAGGAAGCCCAATGCAGGACTCGATCCCAAGATCCTGGGATCATGACTTGAGCCAAAGGCAGTTGCTTAAGTGACTGAGCCACCCAAGCATCCCTCTTCAGTATTTTTTTATACTGAAAAACGTATCATGATTTTACTTTGGTCAGTAGACAGAGCTACGTTCCTTGTAGTAGCTTTATAATATCCACCACTGATTTCCCCCAGATTATTTAACCATTCCTATTGATGGAGATTTCAGTTGCTTCCTGTCTGCATAAACAGTGCCCCACTAAAAATCCTTTTTAGAGTTCCTTATGTTACAGTATTTTTAATTTCCACTCTCTCCAAATGTGGGATTGTTAGGTTAAGGGTAACCAAATTAAAAAAAAAAATTAGTAGCTATTAACAAACTACTTCCCTAAAATTTGGTAACAATGTATTTTCCTGCCAGCAGTAGAAAAGCAGAAGAAGAGAGCACCCTTTACCTCACACCCTTGGCAGCAAGGAACATCACCACCGTTGTTGTGACAACCTTGTGGGGGAAGATGACCATTTTATTGTCCTCACTTAGATTTTCCTAACTTCTTAGTGAGGTTGGACATATGCTTATTGGTAATTTAAGTTTTTCTTCTTTGACCTGCCTATTCAAATTTTCCATTTATTCTTCTATGAGGTTGCCTTTTAACACTAATTTTTGGGAGTTGTTTTATATATTAGGGGCACCTGGGTGGCTCAGTTGTTAAGCGTCTGCCTTCAGCTCAGGTCATGATCCCAGGGTCCTGGAATGGAGTCCTACAGCCCCTGCTCAGCGGGGACCCTGCTTCTCCCTCTTCCTGCCAATCCCCCTGCTTGTGCAATTTCTCTCTGACAAATAAATAAAATCTTAAAACAAAAAGAGAGAATTGTTTTATATGTTAAATGTATTAACCCTTAACACACGACATGATTATTCCCCATATCCCCTGGTGCAGTTTCTGTTGACCTTGGTATCTTCCGTCCCATATAATTTTTTAAAAATTTTATGTAATCAAATAGGTCTTTCTTTTCCTTTACGACTTGATTTCTTATCAACTTTATGGACTCCCCAAAATCAGATTATATGCTTCTTAATTTTCTTCTTCTCTTTTCATTGGCTTTTTTTTTTTTTTAATATTTAGGACTTTAATCTATCTGGAATCTATTTTCTTTTGTTTTATATGCAGAGTTGTTTTGCTTATTTATTTGGTTTCTTCCAAATGGATAACCAATTATGATGATAACTTTTTTTAAAAAAAAAAGATATTATTTATTTGGGAGAGAGAGCGTGTGCGTGTGCACATGCACAAGGGGGGGTGCAGAGGGAGAGGGATATGCAGACTGCCAGCTGAGCAGGAAGCCCAATGCCGGGCTCAATCCCAGGAGCCCAGGATCATGACCCAAGTGGAAGGCAGACAGATGCCCAATGGACTGAGCCACCCGGGTGCCCCTGATGGTAACATTTATTAAATAAGCATTCTTTCCCACTAAATTGAAACACCATAGTGTCATTAAAAAAAAAAAAGCTCTCCTACATACTTGGACAATTTTTGTCCTCTCTGGTTTTTCCATGACTATATTTTGTTTACTTTTGGATTAATAACTTGTTTTGAATAAGGCAAGTATCCCTTCACTTCTCTTTCAAAATTTTTTTATTATCCTTAGTATTTGCTCTGCAAGTTTAAGACTCCCATTGGGCTTAAAATGAGAATGATATTAAACATAAATATGATTGAAGAGGGACAGATATTTCCATATTAATTTTTCTCTTTCAGTAACATGGTATCTCTCTAATTATACCATGTTTTCTTAATAAGATTTTGTAGTATTTTATATATTCTACATATAGATTTTATACCCTCATTGTTCAATTTATCTCTAGGTATTTTATAATTTTATATCTACATTTTAAACGAATTCTACTTCTTATTCTAAGTGGTTATTTCCAGTTTAGGCAAAAGTTAATGAATTATGAATGACTATCTTATATCCAGCCACCTTTCCAAATGCTCGTATTACTCTAGCCATCTCTTGGGTTACTAGACATACATCACATGATCCATAAATCAAAAAAAGGTCATAAATTCTCTATTATTTATACTGATTTTTTTTCTTCATCTTGTAGCTAAAATTTCCATGGTAAAGTTGAATGACAATTTGACAGAAATGTCTTCAGTGTTTCACAGTTTAAGCTGGTGTTAGTAAAGATGTTTCTCATTGGAACCGCCATCTTGGGTGTGGTATGTAACGCACAATGGGGCCATATCTAAGAAAATATGTTTTCTCTTGGTGTCCTGGAATAGTTGAAAGTACCTGTTCCTAGAAGTTCAAAGGTACAAAACAGTAAGGACCCAATGCCTTTTTTAGTGATAGATTTCAAACAAACTTACCAATTTTGTCTAGTATTATTAGCCAGTTTATGTTTTCTAATTCCTCTTGGATCAAATCTGGTAGTTTATATTTAGCAAGAAGATAGTCCTTTCTTCTTTAAGATTTTTAAGTATATTACTGTGTATTAAAATTTAATAACCTGTCCTAATTTCAAAATATTATTTGTAACTATGATTATATTTCTTTCTTATTCTGAAGTTTGTATATTTTGTTTTTCCTCAATCAGGTTTGCAATGGTTTGTCTATTTTTTTTTAAAGAATCAGCTTTTCGTTTCATTTAGAATTTCTTCTATTTTTTTATTCATAGGTGTAGTAGGCTGAATCATGCTGCCCCCAACACTTGCAAAGATATTTACACCCTAATCCCTGAAAGCTGTGAATATGTTATGTTACATGGCAAAAGACACTTTGTAAATGTAATTAGTTTATGGATCTTATGATTGGGAGATAATCTTGAATTATCTGAACAGCTCTATACAACCACATGACTCAGTTAAGGTATTTTATCTAGTCCGATTTAATTACTGCACTCAGAACCACAGAACTCTCTCACAGGAAAGCTACATAGCTTTGGGGTGGTTTCCATTCTGTTCCTCAGAGATACACCCTCCAGATGAGGATGCTTGAAGGTTAGCTGAGTGATCATGGGGACATAATGGGAAGGGCAGAACTAAGTGCTCGTGGGGAGGGCCCTGGACTTGGGCCTGAGTCCCAGCTCTGCCACTGGTTGTGTAACTCGTGCCTCCTCAGCCCCGACAAAGGCCATCTCCCACAAAGGACCAGGAGAGAGAAGAAGAATGCTTCACACAGTGCTCTGGCTTCTGTGTTTGGCATTCTGAAGTGGTGCAGAGGAATTGAGACAAAGTGAAGGGAATGGACAGCTGAGAGCAGAACACGGAGCTGAGGAAAGTTCTGAAGAGACACCAGGAAGCCAAGGGGGGCCCTAAAGCAACTGGCAGCATCTCAATGGCCTTTGTTCTTGCCTCCTATTCTTTGAACGGGGAGGATCCACCAGCTGCTGGGGGAGAAAAGAAGCTGCCTCCCAGACAAGAACACGGAGGGAAAATCAACCTGGAGGACAGGAGGTCTGAGCTAAGCTCAGCTATCCAATTAGAGATACTTTTCTTTTTCCTTCTTATCAGTAAGATCGTGTCTGATCCAGGGTTTTCTCTGTGTTCCCATCCTGTCTGGCCCCTTTTCATTCTCTGATCCCTAGCTCCAGTCATGGTAATGCAAACTTAAATAATCAATACAGTCCATACATACATTCACTTTTATTTAATTAAAATTCAAGAAGCTTTATGGCTTTAAAAGCCTTTCTTTAATAAGAAAAATGACAGATACCTGGTAAGAGGTCTTTTTCTAAGAGGTCATACATTCATATATTTAAGATATGCCTTGTTGCAGATGGTGCCTGGGTGGTACAGTTGGCTGAGAGTCAGATTCTTGGTTTTGGCTCAGGTCATGATCTCAGGTCACGATCTCAGGGTCATGAGATTGAGCCCCATATTGAGCTCTGTGCTTAAGATCCTCTCTCCATTTTCGTCTGCCCTTTACTCCCATGTTTTCTCTCTCTCTCTCTCTCAAATAAATAAATAAATCTTAAAAAAAAAAAAAGATATGCCTTGGGGTTTTGTAGATTCACTCCAGTTTCTTCTCCTATATTCACAGAAAACTGAAGTTTACATTGATATCCCAATTACGTAGCTGGATATATGCTGTCACAAGGCAAGGGAAATGAGTTGACATAGTTGACAAAGATTTTTCATCAAGGTGGTTAACACCAAAAAGATTTCTAAAATTAACCTTTCCCTTCAGTGACCTAGAACAGCCACATCCCTTTCAAACTCCATTAACTTATGTTTAAATACAGTGCTCTCCAAAGTATGTGTTTTTACTAAGTGAGGAAAGGGGAAAACTAAACTAATCGCTGAGCCTACAAAATCTAACAGAGAAGTAAAATTTATATCTTCATTCATAAAGTTAGAAAATAGAAGCGATAGGAAATATGGGGAAGAAATCTGTAGCTCTTACCTATGCTTGTTTATTTGGCACATGGAACTTGAGGTCTACATAATGGCAGCCTCTGTGTTATGGAGATGGCAGTTTCCCTACACAGATATGCCCATATCTAAACTCTCACACTCAAGACTGAATTCTGCAGTTCTGGTGGCCCCTCAGGGAACAATACGAACAATGGAAAGAAAACAGAGCAGAGTCTAGTGGGGGAATGAAAAGATGATTTCCAAGAAATACAAATGTATAGAAAACATCGCTGGTATCTGAACTGTTTTATTTTTATAACGTGTTTATAAACACACCAAAACACTGACCTGTAAGATGTAGAGTATGACAACCGTCAGTCCGACCCAGCTGTGTAGACTGTACATGTTGGGGATACTCAGGGCATTGTGGAAATCAAAAACAGACACCAGAGCGATAATTACGAGAATGGCGGCAACGGTGTGTAACCCTGCATGGATGGACTTCATCAGGAGCTTGCTGCATTTCCAGGTCCATGGCAGTCTGTAGACGATGATGGCTAGAAGAGACGAAGGGAGACAGAATGAGGTGTTGATTTTTTTAATCAACACAAGTTGAACACTTTGAAGCACTTAACACTCCCTTGCATGAAACCATTTTCACATGGTTTCTGCTTCTCCCCTCTTCCCTGCCTTTCAAGAATTCCTTTTTGGGCTCTTTTGCCAGCATCTTCTTTACTCCCAGCATATGAACAAACCCTGGTGGCTCTCAGGCTCAGTTCTAAGACTTTTTCTCTGTGGGTGACCTCATTCACTCTTTCACTGAGATGCCACCTACATGGCAGGGACTCCAAAATTCATATCTCCAGCCCAGAACTTTCTTCTGAACTCCAGACCCACATAATGCAACAGCTTCTTGACATCTCTGTATAGATGCCTCCATATATCTCAAGCTCAGCAAATCCAAAACTAAATTATTAATCTTATGACTGGTTCTGTGTGTGTGTGTGTGTGTGTGTGTCTTAGTTTGATGAGAAAAGATAGACTAAGGAATAGAAAAATATGCACCACAATCTAAATAGACAAAAGAATATATCCCAGTATTTTACCAAAAACTACATCCAAAAATAGAAAGAGAAACATAAGTAAAATATCAACTTCATTAGTCAACAGAGAAATGCAAATTAAAATCAAATAAGACTATGTCTACTATATATCTGAATGGCTAAACATGAAAAATGCCAAGTATTGGAGAGGATGGAAAATAATCAGAGCTCTCATGTTCCATAGCAGGAGATAAATGAGAACAAACACTCTGGAAAACCAGCAGTATTTATTCAAGCTAAACTTGAGCATAACTTATGATCCAGCAATTCTACTCCTGGGTATATTCTCCAAAGAAGTATGTATTTATGTTCACCAAAAGACATGCACTAGAACATTATTAGCAGCACCATTTGTAGTGGCCAAAAACTAGAAACCTCCCAAATGACCATAATGAATAATATGAATAAATAAATTGTGATATGGGCGCCTGGGTGGCTCAGTGGGTTGAGCCTCTGCCTTCAGCTCAGGTCATGAGCCCAGGGTCCTGGGATCGAGCCCCACATCGGGCTCTCTGCTCAGCAGGGAGCCTGCTTCCTCCCCATCTCTTTCTGCCTGCCTCTCTGTCTACTTGTAATCTCCGTCAAATAAATAAAATCTTAAAAAATTTAAAAAAATAAATTGTGATATATTCACACCATAGAATAATACACAATAAAGAGAATGAATAATAACTATATATAATATATATGTATTATATATAAAATATATATACATAATATATATAATAATCTATAACTAGAACTTCACCCAAGAGTATGAATCCACCTATAATGTTGATGCCAAGTAATGAGACATAAACAAGTATGTACTGTATGGATTCAATTTATACAAAGTATAAAAACAAGAAAAACTCATGTCTGCAATAAGAAAAGTCAGGATATTGGTTACCCTTGTGAGGAAAGGGCGCGGTAACTGGAAAGTAACATACAAGGGATTCCTAGCTTCCTGCTAATACTCTGTTTCTCTGTCTGGGTGCAGGTTACATAAGTGTTCACTGAGGGGAGATTCAGTGTACACTTTCTTGCATGTAGATTAAACGTCAACAAAAACATTTTTTTAAAAAGATTTATTTATTTATTTATTTGACAGACAGAGATCACAAGGAGGTAGAGAGGCAGGCAGAGAGAGAGAGGGGGAAGCAGTTTCCCTGCCAAGCAGACAGCCCAATGCGGGGCTCGATCACAGGACGCTGAGACCACAACCCGAGCCGAAGGCAGAGGCCCAACCCACTGAGCCACCCAGGAGCCCCTAACAAAAACTTTTTTGAAAGCATTTTTTTTTAAGTGTCCTGGTTTAAGCAACAGATTATATGGTCACCTTAACCAGCATGTGATTAATTTTTGTTCTGAAGACAATATCCTGCTGCTACCCACCCTCATTCCCACATCTCCGGTCCATGTCAGGGAAAATTTAGGGATCTAAAAATGTAGGGCAGGTTGAAAAAGTCTGAAGAATATTTCCTTGCAAGATAGATTCCATTATATCCACAGTGTATCCTGTATATTGCTTAGTTCTAGTAAGAAAAAAAAAAAGGGCACATTCCTAATAAAGACATTTATAATTTGAATATAAAGAACTTCATAGGATCACAAAAATGTATGAGATTATCTAATCCATTCTCAGGCAGAGACAAATATAAACCTACAAAGAAAGATGTGAATTCAGCCTCTTTAAAGCTTTCAGCACAAGATGTCGATCTTCCTATCCTTTCATTCCATTCCACAACACTTGACAGCCCTCACCATTAAGACAGGATTCTTTTCTAATCCAAAGTCTGAAGAATTGCTACTTACTAATTTTAGTGCATATATGGATATCTTATGAGTATGATTGGTTATACTTCCTTGAGGACGTGGAGACTTATCAGATAATCATTTCTATATTTGATGAATCTTTTCAAGCCATTTAGTGCAACCAGGTAGACCAGCTGATCCTTAAACAAGGTTACAGCGCTTGATCCTTGAGCAAAGTTAGGGGTAATGATCCCCACACAGTTGAAAATCTGTTAATCTGCATATTGGGGCACCTGGGTGGCTCAGTGGATTGGGCTTCTGTCTTTGGCTCAGGTCATGATCTCTGGGTCCTGGGATCGAGCCCCGCATCGGGCTCTCTGCTCAGCGGGGAGCCTGCTTCCTCCTCTCTCTCTGCCTACCTCTTTGCTTACTCATGATCTCTGAGTGTCAAATAAATAAATAAAATCTTAAAAAAAAAAAATTAGAAAAGAAAAAGAAAATCTGCATATAACATCTGACCTCCCAAAACCTAACTACTAATAGCCTACCATTGACTGGAAACCTTACTCATAACATAAACAGTTTATTAACACATATTTCATATGTTTTATGTATTATATATTGCATTCTTAGAATGAAGTAAGCTAGAGAAAAGAAAATGTTAAGAAAATCATGAGAAACATTTACAGTACTGTAAAGTGTGTTTATTGAAAAAAAAATTGACCTGTAAGTAGATCTGTATTACAGTTCAAACCCATGCTGTTCCAGAGTCAACTGGAACTCTTTTAAGACTATATTTATTTATTTGAGAGAGAGAGTGAGAGAGAGCATGAGCGGAGTGGAGGGGCAGAGGGAGAGGGAGAAGCAGATTTCCCACTGAGCAAGGAGCCCGAAACTCAAAACTGGATCCCAGGACTCTGAGGTCATGACCTGAGCTGAAGGCAGACGCTTCACCAACTATACTTTTAAAATCTAGTTCAAAGTCCCTTCTCATCCTCTCTGAGTGCAAAAATGTATTTTGTTGTTTCTCCTTGTACCCTGAGACTAGGACAGCCCTGGGCTCAAAGTGTGTGGCTCCATAGGCATGTTTTTTTTTAAACTCTTATTTTGAGATAATTATAGATTTACATGCAGCTGTAAGAAATAATACAGAGAGGGGTGCCTGGGTGGCTCAGTGGGTTAAGCCTCTGCCCTGTGCTCGGGTCGTGATCTCGGGGTCCTGGGATCGAGCCCCACGTTGGGCTCTCTGCTCAACGGGGAGCCTGCTTCCCCCTCTCTCTCTGCCTGCTGCTCTTCCTACTTGTGATCTCTCTCTCTCTGTCAAATAAATTTAAAAAATAATAATAATAATACAGATATAGCCTATATACTCTTCACACAGCTAGCAACACCTGGTGTTACCAATGGTAACATCTTACATAACCATAGTACAATATCACAACTAAGAAATTGACGTCAATATAATCCACTGACCTAATTCAGATTTCATTAGTTTTATTTGTGTATGTGACCCATTAAGTGTTTTTAAAATAAATATAAAGCACTCTCTGCAGGCTGATGAAAGTCTAGAAATAAAATTGAAGTCAACTCAAACACACAGCCTCCCCTCCTTATGCTTTTTCTCCTCTGATTCAGTGGAGCACCATATAGGATTTTCTAGTTCTCAAGAAAAACAAATGCCTCTTGACCCAATGCCTTTGTGACCTTTCATCCACACAGTAGAGAGCATTTTGCAATATGTGTGATCAGGCTGTAGTAAAATAAAAATGTAGCTAATATGAAAATGTAACAATCATCTCACCCTCTTCTGAGTTAACCTCATTTATTACACACACACACACACACACACACACACACACACACACACACACAACTGAGCCCTTGCTAGATAGGAGGCGCCATGCTAAGTGCTCTACATGTTTACATTTACATTATAATTCTTACCTCAACTCTGTGAGGAAGGGATGATTACCGTTACCATGAGCATTATACAGAGGAGGAAGCTAAGGCACAGAGAGGTTAAGTAGCTTGCTTAATCTTTTTTTTTTTTTAAGATTTTATTTATTTATTTGACAGACAGAGATCACAAGTAGGCAGAGAGGCAGGCAGAGAGAGAGGAGGAAGCAGGCTCCCTGCTGAGCAGAGAGCCCGATGCGATGCGGGGCTCGAGCCCAGGACACTGGGATCATGACCTGAGCCTAAGGCAGAGGCTTAACCCACCGAGCCACCCAGGCGCCCCAGCTTGCTTAATCTTAATAAGTGTTTTAAAATTAATATTATTGTCGTCATCATCCTCATTGCCATCCTATCACTCAGACATTGCCCTCATCTTAGATGAGGAAACTTGAACATCTACATATGAAAAGGAAATACTTGGAATATGTTTGCTTGAAAAGCAAATTTGAACAATAAATCACAACAGCTTTTTCTCCCCCATCTGGATCCTGTTATATTGCATTTTTTCCAAAGTCAAAACTAACCTCTGATGTTAGAAGTCAGGAGCAGTTATCATGACTGAGAGATGTTACAATGGTTACCAAGAAAATTCAGATGCCTGGGATGTTGTTTCATGATTCGGGTACATGAGTGTGTTCACGTTATGAAAACATGTAACTTATGATTTAGGTATTTTTCTGCATGTATGTGGTTCTTCAATAAAATATCTACAAAAATGTTCAGCAAAGAATTTTTACTCTTCTAAATACTATAGGCGTCACAGA